CTTCGAACTTTCGCAGCATGTCTCCGTAAAACACGTTGAGAAAGAGCGACTTATTTCACGGGAAGATTATCTGAAGCGCCAAATCGAGACTCTCGAAACTCGACACGCTGAACTTCTCTCGAATCTCCTTGAGGATTCTGCTTTTACTGAAATGCATAACCGGCTTGAAGCCGCAATCAGCGCGGCCAGTCAGGCGAAGAACCATGCACGAGAGACATCTCTCTCCCTGGCCGATGCCCGTGAAGCCATGACGGCACACCAGCACGAGCGACAAAGCCGCGCACAGCAGCGTGCGTTTATCGAAAAACGTTTGAATGAGACGGAAGTCTTCCTTGCGCAACTCACAGATCAACTCCGTGAGATCCATGAGAAACGGTCCATGCGAGACGCTCCCGGCACCAGCGCCGAGCTGATCGCGCAAGCGAAGCACGCGGTGCAGAAGACGACAAATCAATTACAATCGGCTCAGACAGCCGTGACGGCACAGCGGGAGGCTCTTAAGAAACTCCAGAATCAAACTGCCGCGGATGAGGAAATCACCCGCGCGCTTGAAATGAAACTTGTCCATTATCAGGCAGAGCAGAATGGCTTGTCCGCCCCGGATGACAAAGAGACATCAAAAAAACGCAATTCTGGAATCTCTCATGGTTCCGGAAAATTACGCGACCGCCTTCGGAGCTGCGTTCGGGCATGGTTGGGATGCTCAACTTGATGCACCTGATGCGCGGCAGAGCTGGGAAACACTGCCAATCTCCGGGCCGAGTGCCTTTCCCGAAAGCATCAGACCGTTAAGCAAGATTGTCAAAGCGCCATCCGCCCTGTCTCTGTTTCTTAATGCGACTGGTGTCGTTGCGTCGGACGCACAGGGTGCGGCGCTCCATGCGTCTCTTAAACCGGGCCAGACACTTGTCAGCCTGAGCGGTGCTGTGTGGCGATGGGACGGATACCGTCATGCGGGCGGCACATTATCGGAGGCGGCGCGCCATCTTCGGAGAAGGGCGCGACACAACGCACTGTCAAAGCTCATCTTCGAGACAGGCTCTCACCTTGCTTCTGCAACACAGCGTCGCGACGACCGGCTTAAAAGCCGCGATCAAGCCTCGCATCACCTGACTGAGCTGGAGGATGTTTCCAGCCGCACTCAGGAAGCTCTTCTGCAGCTGCAAAAACATCTTTTAGAGCTTGAGACCACGGCACAGAGAGACGCAACGCATATTGAGGCGCTTGAGATACGGGCAGAGGAGATCGGTCGTCAAATTGCAGCCGCCACCTCCAGCCGGGCTGAGTTATCGAAGGATCTCAGCGCCTTGCCTCCTGAAGCGGAAGATGAATCCCGACAAGCGCGGGCCATACAGGTTTACGAGGATCTTTTACAAAGATCTTCGGCCGCCACCACTGATCTGGAGCGTGCCATCGCGGAGGAAAACACCGCACGCGTCACGTTGGAGCGCGCAAAGAGCCTTCATGACGCGGCCATTGCACGATCTGAGAGCTTGACGGAAAATCTGCAGATTTTGAGGGACGAGGGCGCGGATATTCAACGTCGCCTTCCCGACTGCGATGCGACCGAAGAAAGCTCGGCTCTCACACACCTCAAAACAGTGTATGAGCTTGCACTCCAGCGGAAACTTGACCTGCAGGCACGCCTCAACGAAGTCACAAATCACCTCAAACAGGCTCGTGAGGCTTTGACCGCGCAGGAAGCGGAGATCCGAGAGCTACAGGACAGGCTTCTGGCCGGTCGGGCCACCGTGGCCACTCTCGATGAACGGCTGCACAGTCTTGCAGCGCAGCTTCACGCTGCCCGCGCGGACCTTGAATCGCTGCCAGATGTTACGGATTTGTCGACAGAAATCGCATCCGTAAAACGCGCGCAGGACTTGCTGCACACTGCGGAGCGCAATTTACACGAGGTTGAGCAGAGGAAAAATGCCAACGAAGCCGCGCTGAAGGAAACATTAATATTCATTGACGCGGCCCAAGCGCGTTGCGCAGATCAGGAGCGTCAAATTTTAGTGCTTGTTGCGGACCTGGATCGCATCAGCGCGCGCCAGGCGGAGCTGAATCAAAATGAAAAAGATATCGAAGAGACAAAACTTGAAAGTGAGTCCGAATGTTTACGGTTGCAAACGGCACTGAAAGACGCAGAGCAGCAATACACAGAGGCGCGCCTTGGCTTGGACGCGGCAAGATCCGCCCTAGATCAGCTGCGTGACAGGATTCGTCAGGCAGAAATTGCACGCGCCGATGCCGTGGTCGCCCGCAAAATGGCGCTGGAGAAAATTGACCAGGGTGCTGCCAACCGTGCCCGATTGCTCGATTCA